AAATTGTCGCCGAGACCCTGTCTAATATTCCTGTGATGAGATTAGTGCACAAGGACACACACCCCCCCCCCCGCGCCCCCCCTGTGAAATTTGACGGCTGAAAAGAAAGACAAGTGGGGGGGGGGGAGAGCTGTAGGGACCTTTTGCTCCTTTGATTTGGGAAATTCGGATTTAATTTTTTTAAAAACTGACTTTATTTTATTGTGTCTGTCTATATCGGCATTCTTCAGCCTTGGCCGCTTGAAGATGGGTGGACTTCAACTCCCGGAATTCCCCAGCCAGCATGTTTTAAGGTGTGTGGATTTCAACTCCTGGAATGCTCCAATCAGCATGCTGGCTGGAGAATCCTGGGAACTGAAGTTTGCGTATCTTAAAGCATGCTGACTAGGGAATTCTGGAAGTTGAAGTCCGTCCATCTTCAAGTGGCCAAAGGTGAAAAATGCTGGTCTGTATGTACAGTCAAACTTTTAATAACCTTTCTTAAAAGAAAGATCCTCGCACATATGGTGGAAGACCCTCTATGAAGGAGATGGGTGGGGAAGGAAGCAAGAGAAAGAAAGAAAGAAAGAAAGAAAGAAAGAAAGAAAGAAAGAAAGAAAAAGACAAGGAAAGAGAAAGACAAGGAAAAAGAAGAAAAGAAAGAGAAGGAAGGAAAGAGAAGGAAGGAAAGAGAAAGAAAGAAAGAAAAAGAAAGAAAGAAAGAAAGAAAAAGAGAAGGAAAGAAGGAAAGGTAGGTTGGATCTCACTGTGCCTTCTGAAAAGAATAAAATGTTTCTGTGAAGTCTTGCAAGAAATGTTTTACTCTCAAACACCAATTGGCTTGAGAGCTTTCAGAGATGAGACAAACTTCCATTCCCCCCCCCCCCGTCATCTTCATGGCTGTATTCCAAAAACTGGGAATTTTCTCCGTCAATCTGAATGCACCTTCTTCTCCCAGCAATTGGGGGAGGGGGGGAATTGAATTCAAAACTGCCTGAAAAAATTAATATTTATTTACGAACTTGCAAAACTTCAGTTGAAAAAAAAAATATTGGTGAATTTCTTCCATCAATCTGAAGGCATCTTCTTCTTCCAAAGATGGGGGAATTGAACAAGAAAACTCCCGACTTCCGGATGGTAGATTTTGCAGAATTGATGTTCTCAACTTCGCCACATGGAGTTTGGTTGGCTAGGTATTCACTGAATCAAGAAGCGGGAGAGAGAGATGCACTGATTGCATTAAAACAATCCCAAAAGCAGCGTTTGAGGGTAGATTTGGGGGAGTTTTTTTTTAAAAAAAAACGGCCTCCGATTAGGGATAGTGAGATGCAGTTTTGAGATACTTATGATTGTCCTGCTTTAGGTGGGTCAGCCCAGACCCCCAACCTTCTCATTTGTACCCCCACCCTGAGTGGCAGGGCAAATGAGATCCCACTGGATGAGAATGTTCCGAGTTGTAGATGCACTGAGATTTTTCAACAGGGTGGATTATGGTCTTAACGCCGTGTTTCTCAACCGAGGCCCCTTTTAAGATACATAGATTTCAGCTCCTAGGATCTCCCAACCAGCATATCTATATTGTTTGGGGAATTCTGGAAGCTGAATTCCACACATCTTAAAAGCTGCCACGGTTGAGAAACACTGGCTTAGACTGATCACTACACTGGCTAAGGCACTTTCAAATCTCCTTTTAATTACTATTATTGAAGCCCTTGGGTTGACTTTCGAACAAATCGACATTTTTTGAGGCTGACTTGTTAAGCTTCCCACACTACGCGGACGAAAGAGATTTCTGTTTTGCATCTTGAGTGTTTTAATGGGACATATTTTAACTTCATTTCTTGCAACAGGTTCCAAAGGCAGCCTTTTAGATCGACTCTTTAACAAATTCTAGTTTCGAATTGAGAAACTTGTGTTGAATGTGAATGCTGGAGCCTAAATATTTGTGTATATAAGGTTGTAGCTTCTCTTGACTTAATCTGTTGTTCGATGAGGCCTCATTTCAAACTCCGGCAAGGAGATTATCTTGCCCAGGGGGAAAAAAAAAACCCTCCAATTTGCAAGGACAAATTCAAAAGTACAATTTGGTGACTGCCACAATTGTTTCCTTTTTTTAAAAAATTCTGTGGAGCAATGAAGAGTTTTTTGGAAGCACGAGAATGTATCAAGAATGTAGATCAAGTGCCATAAGCATTCCTCCCAGATTTACACTGGTTTTGAACCCTGCTCCGAAGTCAAACATTTGCTCCCAGGTGCCCCCTTGCATTCCAACTCATACAAGTCACGGATTGATGGTTTTAAGAAAGATCTGAGCCACCGACTTTTCATGCAACTTTTTTGTGGTGCCTAATTTACTTGGAAGGAATCCCCGCTGAGTCCTAATATTTTTACACACACACCCTCCAATTTTGGACCTGGGATGGTGGAGTAAACTTATTTGTGGAAGAAGATGGATGTGTGCTAAATCTTCAAATCCGCCAGAGCGTGCTTGGGCCCTTTGCTGGATGGAAAAACCAAGATGGAAATCAGCTGATCAGGTGGATCGGAATCTGCCTTGATCAGTTCTGGGCTGGAAGATTATGCTTTGTGCAACACAGATATGAGCTGATCAAAAAAATCCCTGCCTGGGCACTCTGTGGCAGCTTCTTGCCCGGACGTCAACTGGTTCTTTTCTCTCACTTGGCGTGACAATTGACCTTGGCACTTTTTCAGTAGCCGGTAGAGTTCCCAACCGTCGTGGCTAACTTTGCGTACCGATCTGGATATTTTCAGCTTGGGAAAAGTTGACTTTCCTGCCTGCAAATCAGAGAGTGGTGGAAAGTTTGTGGATCCTTGGATGTTGCTAAATCCTGAACATCATGTGTCCGTGGGATGTTGGGGAGGGTGAGGGTGGGAGGAAGAGCAGTATTCTAAGAATTATATAGTTCATCAACACTTAAAGCAGTGTTTCTCTGCATTGGCATCTTTTAAGATGTATGGATTTCAAGCTTTGAAATGGAGAACTCTGGGAGCTGGAATCCCATCTTAAAACTTGCCAAGGTTGAGAAACACCGATCTAAGAAACCGGAAATCCCTTCCTTTTTGTTAAAAGAAGAGGAAATTGCAATTTCAGAGAATATTGCCTGGGAATGTGGAAGGAGTTGAATGTAATTTTTGTGCCTCATTATTTTGGTTGCTTGGACTTTATGTCTCCCTCCGTTTTCATGATCGATGTGTTTATGCTTCTCATTGCCCTTTGCAACTATAACTTTTCTATCCTATTAGAACTTTTGGCACTGAAAAAAAAATCAAATAAATATTTCCTTTATTGTTAAACTGGTCTGGAGTATTCTCCTTCCCCCTCCCTCCCTTTTTCAATTTAATGGAACTGGTGGATATTTTTAAAAGCTCTCTCCAGTTTGGCTTGCACTCCCTTCGAAGCCCATCATCCACTAAGTGATCCCTTGCACTAGGAGAATGTATGTAAAGCTTTTTGGTTTACAAGAAAGGTTTAAAAGGTATGTTCTAGGCTGCCCATTTGAACCAGTCTTTCTCATCAATTCTTTTTCTTGGAGGACAGACAGATTGACAGGCAGGATGCTCTTTAGCTGTTTTCGTGATAGAACCACGAGGCTGAAGCATGTTTAATTCTGGGTGTGACTCGTGACTTGGGGTTTAATCTAGTCCTGAAGGTGGTTGACTGGATCAGTTAACTCTTTGGAGAGCTTGAAAATGAAAGTGAAAGTAAGGATGACTTACACGTAGAACACCATCAATATTCAGGTGGTCCTTGACTGACAACCATTGGTTTAGTGACTGAAGTTACAACTGGGGGGGGAAAAGGACTTATGACTGTTTTTCACACTTAATGACTGCCAAATCAATAGGAAAAATCACGTCCCCCTCCCCCCCCCGGGACATTGCAACCGTCATAAATACAAGTCAGTTTCCAAGCGTCCAGATTTTGATCAGGTGACCACGGGGATGCTGTAATGATCGTAAGCGTGTAAAACGGTCATGAGTCACTTTTTTTCACTGCCATTGTACGTTCGAATGGTCACTCAATGAATGGTCATAAGTTGAGGACTAGTGGCTGGGTTTGTGCAACCTACCCAAGCAGATCTCATTGCATAGGATTTCTGCATCTCCGGACTGGTGGCAGTGAAATTCCTCCTTTGATTTTCAACAAGAGCCATGTCACGTTTCCCCATTTTGTGTATTTACTGAATTAATTCACCTCTGGTTCAGCATTTTTTTTCCTTTTAAATGGCATTAAATACTTCTGGCAAACGGCCGACTTTTTCTCATTTCCGCTGGGGTCAATAATATAGCTGAGGACCCAAGGTAATTGGCTTTTATTGTTTCTGCATCTTGTTTTCCTCTGCTCCGTGTTCTGGCTCGGCTTGCCTGCTAATTGTATTGACTGTCTCCGGGGGAATTGATCTCGTGCAGATGGTGCCCGGAAGACAGGAGGAAGAAAGGAGAAAAATGAATTTTCTTCTCGTTACAAATCCTTGAAGCCTTCGGGCGGCGTGAACACACCAAAAAGCCCTGTTTTTTGCAAGGGCTGAGGTTTCTCTAACCCAGTGTTTTTCAACCTTGGCAACTTGAAGATGTCCGGACTTCAACTCCCAGAATTCCCCAGCAGTGGTTAGGACAGTGTTTCTCAACCTTGTCAACTTGAAGATGTCCGGACTTCAACTCCCAGAATTCCCCAGCAGTGGTTAGGACAGTGTTTCTCAACCTTGTCAACTTGAAGATGTCCGGACTTCAACTCCCAGAATTCCCCAGCAGTGGTTAGGACAGTGTTTCTCAAC